AGGGAGGTCACTGTTTCACAACTATATATTTAATTAAGCATGACTTGGAAGTGGATTATACATGCTAACGAGAAAGATACTAATATTACAAATCTCACATTTTTCCTTAACATTGGACTGTAGAGAAGATAGTAAAACTTGAAAACTCAAAATTCATTAACTTTCAACTACAATCATTTGAACCCCACAGTCATACACCACCAGTTTAGAGCTAGGACAGCCTTCATTTCTTTGGAGTCTGACTACACTCTACAAAAGTGTAAATTTTACTGGTTGCATTTTTAAACTCTTTTAAAAATAACAGCAGGAAATTCTTACTTTAGAGCAGGACAAGTTCATTATATATGTTTACCTGTGAAATATGCATTATATGTGAATATTCCTTTCTATGGTTGAATTAAACAGTAGTTACAATAAATGCCTCTATTTCAAAGTATGTATGAATCATAAATGAAACTTTGAGCCGCGTCATGACAAAACCAACATAATGTGTTTGCGACCAGCATGGATACAGACCAGCCTGCGCATCCGTGCAGTCTGATCAGGATGCATGCTGTTCGCTATACATTTCTCTACTTCTTATAGGGTTTGTAAGCGAACAGCATGGATCCTGATCAGACTGCTCTGATGTGCAGGCTGGTCTGGATCCATGCTGGTGGCAAACGCATTATGTTGGTTTTTTCATGACGCGGCTCAATTTTAATGAATGTATAATGTGAGGACTAAGTTTACAAGATGACTAAATTATTGTCAGTACAAACAATGTATACAAACATGCTACATATAAATTATGCTAGGATTATGGTAACATTACAAAATGGATGACATGTAACATTATAATATATATCTACAGTAAAATCATTCTATTTCCTTGAATATCTTATTTCATGGTCGCCTCCTCTCTCATACTAAATTTTGACATTGTACATGTAAGTGTAAGAATTTTTTCTCAAGATGTTTCTCATTTAGACGACACTCTCAATCACGAAATAAGACACTCCATAAATGATAATGATTTTGCAATAACTAAACAATAACAAGAGCTGTCCGTAAGACAGCGCGCTCGACTTTTTTATTGCTTGCCAATAAAAAAAGTTTTTGCAGTAAAAGGCAATACAAGAATCTCTGTATTTTTAAAGTGAACAATGGCCATGAGCATTAAGATATTTAGTGAAGAATTATTTTACTGAATTGTGTGATACCCTTGAACACTGCAGCAAAGTTTGAAATGTTTAAGTCAAAAGAGGGCTGGTAAGAAAGAAAAAAAAACTGAGTTGAGCCTTAAATAAATTTAATAGTATTAAACCCACTTTGAGAGAATAAGGTATTTTTACGTCACTCAAGTGGATAGGAATGAATTTTTTTAGATTTTTTAAGTTTTTTAGTGCTTGCCTATAATACAAAACATTGACAGTTAAGGGCCATAATTCAAATAAAATCTTTGACAGAATTACCTTCTCCTGGACATGTTTGGGAATCATGATTGTAAACAAGTATTCCAACTTTCAAATTAATATCTCAAACAGTTCAGTCAAAAAGTGGACTGGTACTAAAAACTTAACCAAGATTGTAAGTCGATAAAAGGCCTTAATTTTTAAAACAAATCCTTGACAGAGTTACCTTCTCTTGCGTACAGATGGGGGTAATGATGTGAAATAGCATTAAAAGTTTCAAAGCAATATCTCAAAGGGTTAAGGCAATAAGTGGATTTTACCCATATTCAATGTATTTTCTAAGTCAAAAAGGGGCATAATTCTGTCAAAAACCTTGACAGAGTTATGTTCCTCTTGTCTGTTGATGAAGGTCGTGATGGTAAACAAGTATGGTCAGTTTCAAAGCAATACCTCCAATGGTTTTGAAATAAAGTGAGGTGGTACAAAAAACTTAACCAAGCTCAATACACTTTCTAAGTCAAAAAAGGGCCATAATTCTGTCAAAAACCTTGACAGAGTTATGTACTCTTGTCTGTAGATGGAGGTTATGATGGTGAACAAGTATGGTAAGTTTCAAAGCCATACTTGTAATACTTCTGAAATAAAGTGGGGTGGTACGAAAAACTTAACCAAGGTGTGACGCCAACGCCGACGCCGACGCCGGGGCGAGTAGGATAGCTCCCCTTTTCATAGAAAAGTCGAGCTAAAAACTGTTTTTAAAGTAAACTAAAACAACCGTATCCATATCATAAATTGATATAAAGATTGATACTTTGATTTGACACAGTTTGATTTTAACTATCAATGGCAAAACAAGAATTATTATAAAGTATGTTAAGCATTATTTTCATCATGGACAGCTTGTTTAGCTTGTAAGTCAAAGATGGCATGTGTAAGTAACATTTTATATCTTTGTAATGTAGCCATCTTAATAGTCATTTATTTAACAGCTGTTTTAAACAGTAATTCAGTCAAATAATGCCCCTAAAGTTATGCATTATATAAAATAATAGGTCCACATGGTCCTATATCACTCACCTGGGTAAAATATATTAATAGCAAGTGGACCAGAACAAATGTGATCCCCAGAAAACTGATTTACATTACCTTTCTAAAAACCTGCTCGACAATGCTACATACCAAATAACTAGCCCAAGAGAATATTTTTACTTCATTTGGAAACATTAACTAAGCCCTTTTAATATAAATTTTGATGAAGGTCATCTGCAGATCATTTCTGTGAAGTTTGCTAAAAATCTATCAAGCAAATGTTATATTTATTGAAATTGCTAATAAAGGGAGAACACACACAGCCATTAGGCTATGACAAATGTTCACCTTTTTACCCTGGTGAGACAAAAAAAAAACATAATCACATTAACAAGATGTTGGAGAAAAAAATAAAACATTATTTTGCTAAAATGCAACTGTTGGATATTTGAATACTGAAATTAAAAATATAAAAGTAAAATCAGAGAGCTGGATATGATTTCATCATTTATCATAATCAAGATATCACGATTATCTAACATATACATTAAAACATGTATTATCATATCATATACATAATGTAGGTAACATTTAACATTTAAATTATTTTATCATTTATAAGAGATCAATTTGCTATAAATGGGACTAAAATAATTTCCTAGACAGTAACATGTTCATAAATGCCAACGTAACACACCGTTTTCTTACATAATGTGCTATAAAACTTTTATCTATCTATATACATTTTTCTCTGGAAATTATGCTTGGTAACTTAACAGTTTGTACATCACAGCATAAACTATCCATTTTACCCGTTTCTACTTCAATAATTCTTGGAATTCAGCTATCAATTCTGAGCAAAATAATTTGGATCTAAGGCAAAAATGTATCAACTTTGTGAGGTAAGAATTTTTATGTTTCAAGCAAATACAGTAAAAATATAAAATAATGCCAAAAACAGTTGTATTTATATAAAAACTAAAGATTAAAGTAAGCAAAGAAGAGGTAAGATAAACACATTTACCACATTTTACTGCATTTTATGGGTTGTAATTCATAGGTCTTAAATAAACAAAAGAAGATCATATACACATATACAAAACATATACGCAAAGTATATGTGAAGTGAATCTGTAAATTTTCCTTCATTGAATCATATATTATTATAATACATTAAAGTTATATTAAAGTTTAAATGAATAAAAAGTTTGAGAGTAACAGAGATAAAGAACAGGTATAATATGTAAATATAATTTATCTTTGAAATTTAACAATGCTTTAATGATGAAAGAAAAATATCTTAACCATTACCCTGATGGAACCAAAAATTATAAACCTTTGTCACCAGTATAGACCCAGGCCAGTCTGTACATCATTGTGTACAGTGTACATCATTGTGTACAGTGTTCGTCATTGTGTACATCATTGTGTACAGTGTTCATCATTGTGTACAGTGTTCGTCATTGTGTACAGTGTACATCATTGTGTACAGTATACATCATTGTGTACAGTGTTCATCATTGTGTACAGTGTACATCATTGTGTACAGTGATCATCATTGTGTACAGTGTTCGTCATTGTGTACAGTGTACATCATTGTGTACAGTGTTCGTAATTGTGTACAGTGTTCATCATTGTGTACAGTGTTCATCATTGTGTACAGTGTACATCATTGTGTACAGTGTACATCATTGTGTACAGTGTTCGTAATTGTGTACAGTGTTCATCATTGTGTACATTGACATCATTGTGTACAGTGTACATCATTGTGTACAGTGTTCATCATTGTGTACAGTGTTCGTCATTGTGTACAGTGTACATCATTGTGTACAGTGATCATCATTGTGTACAGTGTACATCATTGTGTACAGTGTTCATCATTGTGTACAGTGTACATCATTGTGTACAGATTAACCAGGCTCTATACTGCTCAATTCAATTTTTATATTTCAATATTTAAGTTCCTTTAACTTAAAATTGACTGCAAAAATTTACAAAAATGGATTTAGTACATTTTATATATAAGTCTGGTATAGCAGAAATGATGTGGAGGGAGGTTAAAATGATCTGGACGATTGACAAAAAAACCCACTAATTATCAAAATATTTGTCATTTTTAAAAGCACTAACTACAACAAGAACATCATTAACACAATCTATGACTAGATATCAACAATTATCTCTACCTTTAACAACAATACAACTATATTACTTTGATTCCTAGTGAATATATTATAAAACACAACAAGGTATCACTATAAGTAATTATAATTATTAAATCATTATAAAACAACAAAAATGGAAAGAGAACGAGATGAGTCAGTTTCTTTAATTATCAACAACTTTTAGTGAAAAAAAATTATGAAAATATGACATATCCTAATAAAAGAAATGTATTTTTTAAATAACAAAGTATATGAGCTGTGAACACACCATGACAATGTGTAACAGAAAGACAATATACCTGACCACGAGACATGTTCATTTGGTTAAGAAGTATATAAATATTTAACATCTATCCACTTTGGTTTTAGCTTGTTTGTTGTATGTAAATACTTAGCATCTATCCATTTTGGCGTTAAAAAATTAATGAGTAAGAGTTAAAAATCATTCTTCTCCAGAAATAATTACTAAATTTCCACTTTTACTTTCTAGCAAATGGTTGAGCAGTTTATTGCCAATGCTATTAAAGGTATAATTTCATCATGTGTGAAATGAGATATTTCAATGTAAATTAGCACCATAACTACATCTTGTGGTAAATCACAGTTTCCCACCACCAATGAGAAATAATATACAGCACACAGTCTACTTCATAAAAAAACAACACAGTCTATCTAAACCAGGCATCTGAAGTATTATACTGAGATCCAGTCCACCATTATTAAACATCTAAGTTTATAACATAAAGGAGGAATCCCTTTGAGACAATACTGTCCTGATGTTATGATTTACACCTACCCTGATCACCTTCAGTAGATGTATACATATTGTATTTATCATATAGTATGTAATATTTCATCACCTGGCAGCTAAAATCACTGGGACAATCTTCCTGTGTACATCAAACTAAGGTGATCATGCCGATGCTGTAAATGTCCATTTTTGACTGGGAGAATTAAAATCACAGGTGTTTGCTACCAGACCTCGTCTCTGAGTTTCAGCACTGTCTATACATACACCCTGATACTTGCTACGTAACATTGTACCACTCTCTATACGTTCCCATTGCTGTAATCATATACATCATGTATCAATAAACATATTGTGTAATCATATACAAACTTCTTTTCTCCTACAATGGGCTGGATTAATGTACACTGTCACTTAACAACAGCTGTTGGTAGGACAGCAGACTCGACTATTCTAAGTGCTTGATGACAATTTAAAAGTTATAAATAATCAGTTTACAAGTTAAAGCAATTTCAAAAGAACAAAACTGTGATGTATATCTCAAGTTGACAAAATTGTTGATGAAAAATTAAGTAGAATTAATTTAAGTTTTAACTTTAAAGTCCCGAGCACAGTCCATTATACTTTGACAAATTGCAGGAAATGGCATTCGTCCTCTACCATAGTGTCAAATGGTTTGAATAAAAAAGTTATAAATTCTAAAGCTGGATACGTAACAACTGGTTAGGTAACAACCATTAAGTATGTTACAGAAGTTCTGTTAAAATTGGTGCTGAATGCAATAAAACAATCTTAACTAAACAAATGTGAATATCAGATTTTAGTATTTCCTGTTCTATGACAACATATAGATTACCTGATTAGTATTATCTGGTGTACACTGGAACAGTTTCACAACTTCTCCTGGATCAGTACTTGTTAATGTTAAACAAAGGTCAAGGTGACGTATTTCTCCAGTCTTTGTCATGGAAAACTCCTACAATATAATAGAGATGCTCACAACATTACCTGCTTATTAACATACGTTTATTTCCAAGTAAACAATAATTGATAGTTTAACAAGATTTTTTTGTTTTTTTGTCTCCAACATTATACTTCCTCTAATCTATGGAGGGAAAGGTTTCCTCTTATTAAATGGAATTATTAATGATCACTTATATTTCTTCTTAGGAAAGCAGAATTTCTCATTCATCAGGATGATATGATAAACCTCTATTTATCTATCTACAAACAAGTGTATATATATAAACAGGACAGTCTTGTTTTACATTTATTTTGGTTGCACTAAGGCACGGAGATATCCTTATTTAGTTAATATAAACAAAACTAATATAAAACAATGCCCCGTACCTGATTTCCTCCTGTATTGTGACACTGGAACATTCCCAGTATAGCATCGGCAAATCCTCCCATAGTGTCCATACACATGGTTCCCTGTATAATGCTTCCAAATGCCTGGTCCCCCTTGTCTGGTACTCTGAAACATAAATAAATTAGTGGTTTATAGACTGTATTTAGAAACAAAAATAGTCATGATATACCGTAGTCATTATAAATACTAGGGAATTATGGCTGTAATTATTCTTATCAATCCAACAAATTTTATCTTCACCAAGTTAATATTTTATAAATCGTTGACATACACTGTTTGTTATTTTGCCTGTTTATGTCCTCATGAGCTTTAAAGCCTAATGGAATGAACTAAAATGCCTACTGTCATAAAATCATTTAAGCACTGAGATAATTCATTATGATCACCACAAATAAAGGACAATTATAATCAACAATTAAAGTCCCTTTTATTGAATGGAAGACTTCAGACAAATAGTTATTCTGCAAGTCCTTTGTCTTTTTTCCAATATGCACATATAAAATAAAGCATTGTGCAAATTTTGTAAGGAGAAAAAAAACTCAATTCATTAATGTAGAAAAAAACTCTTAAAAACTCTTTTTTTAATGACCTTGTCATCTCTTGGAATAAAAAAATATCTTAATTTTATAAAAATGAATTACATGCACTATTAAAATTTTCAATATACTGCAATATATAATTCTTACATTATATCCCAGCATATTTTCATATGCATACAATGTTTGTATTGCTAACTTTATAATGTCATTATTATATAAACTCAGACAGAAATCACATCAAGGAAAATACAAACATAAATCAATCAATTTTCTACATTGAGCATAATAAGATAAAGAAAATATACAAAATTCATTTATATAAATATTTTTTTCCCATGCTTTTCAAGAAAATTACAGGAAAATCATAACAAATGCAAACTTTTTTCTGTTTATAATGTCAGACAAGCAAGCTATATTTCTAAAAGCCGTGTTATAAACAATATCAAGCGAGGCAAACTAAATGACCATGTAATATATAAAATAAATAAAAGTAAATCATAAAAGAAAAACTAAGACAGATGATAAAACAATTGTCATTTAATATTAAGTTTATATCTGTTTTTTAGCTATGAAAATTTTCTTGTTATATTCAGCAGAATAAGTTTAGCTACATATAATTAATTGTAAAGTGATAACATAACTACAATGATTTTTGGATTTAGGAATAAATTTTGGTTTAATGTTTAGCTCCTGAGGCGTTTAATAGGAGTTTTACGATAATTATATTTCACTAAATATTAAGCTATTTTTAGCTCTGGTGCCAATCTTGTTCAATAGACCAAAATAATTATAGTGTTTTCATAAATGACCATCCAAGGATCATTCCAGTATAGTTTCATCACAATTTGCCATGTGATTATGGAGCAAGATATGGACAAAATAAATTTGTTTATAATCTGACAAAAATTTTGAGACTGTATATCATAAAGATTAGAATCTATACATGACCCACTTCAACCTGTACATAAAATTTATACTTTAATAAGTGCTTTTCAAAAATAAGTGCAAAGCTTTTTGCTTATTTACAAGAGTATATCAGACAAGAAGTACATATAAGCTTCACTGAATCAATTATAAAGAGTATATATTTATTTTCAAGGTTCTACAGTGTATCTTTATATAAAGGTAAGAATTTCTATCAGAATAATAAACATTTTTTATATTTTGGTATCAAACAAGGGATAAGGCTTGACGACTAAAGTTACAACTATCAAGGAAGTCAGTGTCATACAGATAAAGAATAAATAAAAAGGTAGTCCTCTTATGGATGAGGAGAATATGGTCACTTTGATTAATTTTAAAAGTTCTTTATTCAAATTACAGAAATAAGACGAGAAATCAGAATGAACTGTATAAGAAAAACAATTATTTTTCATTAGCATCAACAACTGTTTTATACGAAAATGATCAAATCATGTACAAAATTTACCGAAGCATAAAATTAAACATAAAATTTGAACAATATTTCACTGCATACACAAGTTTGTGATCACAAAAAGCTTAATGAGTGAATGTGAGATGTTAACCTGTTTCTAAAGAAGACATGTCATAAAGATCGTCAAAACTGAATGTTTTCTAGGTCTATATAGAAGGAACAGTTGAAACTTATGAGAGAAGGTTTTTCTGTTTTTCCTGGAAAACATTTTTTTCCCCATCGTACATATTATTTAGAGCTGACAAGGTTATACAATGAACTATTATGTATACTAACCCACAACATAAATTCTGACGTCAGTTATCACAACAGAAAACAATTAATCCTTCTACAAAAGTTGACAACAGTACATGAGTTTCTTTGGTTCTGGTGTGGAAACAAAATGGCCTAGCAATGACCAGTACACAATTAAGGGCAAAGATCAACAAAATACATGGTAATGTCAAGTAAACCGATTTTCAATAACAGCAAACTTAAGCGGGGTCATGCTGATTTCTTATTATCAAAGATGTGTTATTCATTATGTGGGTGACAGTAATTCAAGTCATGTCATATTTTAATTACTCAATATGGGAACTTTAGCAAAATTCAGTAACTTAACCTTGATGGTCAAGGTCACATCTGAATCAATCAACATTTTATACCAAGATTGATTACAATATCTAATTTCTAACTCTAGTTTTTGAAAACAACATGTTTGACACCTGTCCATCATTTGGCAATTTAACAACCAGGATTTTCAAAATTGACAACCTGATTCTGTAAAGAGACATTATGCCTATCCAAGTGTAAATGGTAGGCGTACAGTAAAATAACTTTAGATTTTGCTATAATTGTTTTCAATTTTATAGTCTAGTTCATGTGTATAATCAATAACCCACATGACTCGCAGAAAATGCTATAAATATCCTCCAGAATGTATCTTTAACATTCAATTGATAAAAAGAGTGGGCCAGTCTGTTTATATTTTAGGCAGTTATATTTTAAAACATTTTTTATTATCAATTATTGTTCTATAACCATGATACTTGTCAATCTTCCTAAATATATAACCAATTCAGCTCAACTTGACAACAAAATAAGTTTAAATTTAAAAGCAGTGTAAAATAATTTGTGGGAGGAAACAAACTTAAGGAGAAAGTTCTTACCGGAAGTCCTTTAGTTTTTAATTAAAAATTAGACGCACATACCATTTCAGAAAGATCCTTTATTTTAGAGTGGCTAATGAAATGCCCAGACTGCAGTTTGTAATTCCAAAAGGACCAGTGAAATTTCTACTTAAATTCAACTCTTCCTTGTAAATTTTACAGGAAGTCAAACTGATTTTAGATGGTCTTTGCTACAAATTGAGTATTATGCCAGTTTAACAATCAGGGGTTAAACAAATTGTTTCTGCATAAGTGGGGTTCACTATTAGCATAACTGAAAGGCTGTGTTAATACATGAGGTAACTGGTTACACTGTTACACAGGCAGCCATACAGGCAGGCACTGGGGAGGGAAGTTGACATTATACCTTTCTTCATCTCCTTCAATCGCTGGTAAGTTAGCACTGAATGAAACAAAGTATCTTCCACATTATATCTCTGTTAAACTACATGTATAACTGAAGACTTTTAAGTAAGCTCAAGTATTGTTCTCTTCCTACATTATTTATTTTTTAACCTCCAATATCGCATTAAACTTTAACCTGTTACTTAGAACTTTAACTCACAAAGATTCATTTATGATTCAAGTGACCGGTATCTCATTGATGTTTCATTCCAGTATTACATTTATATTGTAACTTATATTGTAATATATAAAAGTATTACATGTAATTTATATGTAGTTTTGTGAAAAATCTATTTCAGAAAGTTGACCCTTTAGAAATAAGCCATTGTTCTTAATGAAAAAAAATTACAGAAGTAGTTGTTGGGTGTACAAAATATCTACAAGGTATAGAAAGATAAGCATGTCATAAGAAGATATATATACAACATGGCTGCATTATCTACAAACATACCATATAATCTGTCAGTATTTTAGTCAAAACCTACATTGTCTGATTTCCATAGCTTATAAACGAGGGCCATGCAGCACATATTTCAAATTCCATTTCAATAAAAGACTTAACATTGTCTCTATACAATCCTTTATTTTTGCAACATAATTTGGTTTTTAGGGGAAAAAAGATTTGAGTGCTTTATCCTAGAATATTGCACGGTTTGAAGTTATGATACACTACAATACAGTTGCAAATGTTGTATTACTGGGAGGTTTAGTGGACAATAAATCTTCCATTTCAAACAATTATAGCACTCAATACATGTTAAGTGACATTGAAATGGCATTTAAACATTTACAAGTAAATGTAGATTTGTAGTAAAGAAAGATGTTTACTGGTCAGAGACAATGTTAAAGACTTATTGGGGGAACTATTTCTCCTACCTACCTTCATATGTGATCTCTAGAAACCAAAATAAAATTACTTATTTATCTTTTTCTTAAATAAAACATACTTGTACACCATTTAAGTAATGTATTCCCTGTGGGAAAATGCTTTTAAAAAATTAATCAGTTTTGCTTAAAATTACAAACAAGAGGGCCATGATGGCCCTGAGTCGCTCACCAGAAACAACTGCTTTTCAGTGTTGGAATGTAATTATATTCTCATATTAAACTTGAGCATAGAATATGTTTAAACAATAATTTGAAGAAATGCCATGACCTGGGGCATTTAAGCTTTAGCTTAGATGGGGCTAATCAAATTAATATGAGCAAACTTGATAAAAGACTACCTAAGAATGCTACAAAGTTTGGTGATCATCTATCAATTATTTCAGTAGGAAATGATGTTTGAAGGTTTTTTTTTATTTTTAGCTTTAGTGGCCCCTAAAAGGGGCTAATCAAATTAATATTAGCAAACTTGATAAAACACTACCCAAGAATGCTACAGACAAAGTTTGGTGATCATCCATCAATTGGTTCTGAAGTAGGAGATGTTTAAAGGTTTTTCTATTTTTAGCTTTAGCAGCCCCTAAAAGGGGCCAATCAAATTAATGTGAGAAAACTTGATAAAAGATTACCCAAGAATGCTACAGACAAAGTTTGGTGATCATCCATCAATTAGTTCTGTAGAAATAGACATTTAAAGGTATTTCTATTTTTAGTTTTTGCGGCCCCAATCAAATTAATATGAGCAAACTTGATTTAACACTACCTGAGAATGCTGTCGACAAAATTTGGTGATCATCCATCAATTAGTTCTGTAGGAGAAGGTGTTTAAAGGTTTTTCTATTTTTAGCCCTAGAGACCCCTTAAAGGGGCCAATCAAAATAATATTAGCAGACTTGATAAAAGACTACCCAACAATGCTACAGACAAAGTTTGGTGATCATCCATCAATTAGTTCTTTAGAAATAGACATTTAACGGTATTTCTATTTTTAGCTTTAGCGGCCCATAAAAGGGGCCAATCAAATTAATATGAGCAAACTTGATAAAACACTACCCAAGAATGCTACAGACAAAGTTTGGTGATCATCCATCAATTAGTTCTGTAGGAGAAGATGTTTAAAGGTTTTTCTATTTTTAGCTCTGCTGACCCCTCAAAGGGGCCAATTGGAATGACATGAGCAAATTCAAGTGTGACTGTCACAAGGATGCTACAGACCAAATTTGAAGTAAATCTGCCCAGTAGTTTCAGAGAAGAAGACGATTGTTGACGTATGACGACGGACGCCGGAGCATCCCCCTTTGATACTAATAGCTCACCCTGAGCCTTCGGCTCTGGTGAGCTAACAATGCCAAATGAACTGTATAATTCATAGGTAAGGAAATATGGATTTTTATGACTTGTCACTTGCCAAGTTGGAACAAAAATTTAAACTGTTTGCAAACTTAAGTATTTTTCAAGCTGCTCTTGTACTTTGAGAATAAAATTTTAAGTCCAAGAAATATCTATTGTTGTCAACTCTGTATATAAATAAATAAGTGTGCACTTAACAAAACATTATGTCTTGTAGGTGTAAATTGATACCAGTAGACACCCACAAGTGTGCTGCTAAATGTAGTGAAGTTCTGGGTTGTTTATGTACAGATTATTACAACTACAACTGTTAGATACGTCAGTATTTCAAGGATTTTTTTCTTGGTTAGCCATGACAAAAATATTATTAGGCATGATAAAAATATTATTGCTATTATGATTGCCATAATAGTCTTCAGAGAAAAAAATCTGCTCATGTGGCAAGGAGACCATGGAAACCTATACTTCTGTTAATAAGTGTTTTCTGTTACATTTAACAAGCCATTCTACATTTAAACAACAACAAAAAAAAAAGTAAATAAAACTATTCATCACACAATAAGGAAAGCAAACTAACACACAATTAACAGTTAGAAAGTTTATACACTGAACTAAGGGTTGACTGCAATCATTAAAATAAAACAATAAAACATAGCACACCACTGAGAGTCATACCTGCAGCCAGCTCTATGCTAATCTGACAATACAAACATATCCTCCTTTCATAATATATACACATATATCAACCAGAAAAATGTTTTACCATCACTGGTTCATGTTTGGCACTTGTTTTCAACATTTTTATTTTATATAGACTTCAACAGTATAACCTTCAACCAGTAAAAATAAACAAATATATGTTAACATTAGAAAACGAGTAGGAACGTGACAATTTTGACTTGTACCAGTACTTACCTGTTACCTGTAAAGTTATAACTAACCCAACAGTCCTACATTAATCAGGGTTGTAGGTTATAATTTCAAATATAATGCTTCGTATCATAAAACTAACAAAATGTAAATAAAGTCTCATATTTATCACTATATTACTATAAACAAATTTTAATATTTTGTGACAATTAAGTGTTTATTATAACAAGGGCAACTTGAATTCGCTTCCAGATGCAAGAATAAAAACTGTTGAATAAAACTGTTTATATAAAATCAATAAAGTTGTACAGCATGTATATACATATTTCATTAATTGACAAAAAGCTATCTAGAAGCTTTGTGTTAGAGTTGCACAGTATGCGTAAGCTGTGGTAAGGAGATGATGTGAACACTCAAGCCAGTTTATTGTACTACATATTTATTATATGATGTTTCCACTTTATAAAAGCTTTATATACTTCTTACTATAAACAAAAACAACAATAAATATACAAAACTGTCTAAGGCTATAAAGCTTGTTTGAATGTATATTTAATATAAATATGTAGTATAGAATAACAAAATGTATCAACAAAATTAGGAATGAAAATAATATATATACATACTTCAGCTCTGGATAAACATTCTCCAGATACCAGCTGAATGGTTTACACTTCAAACGTTTACGTAATGCCAGTCTCTCCGATATACTGAAAATATGTTATAATGTTAATGTAACAGCAAATTACCACTTGTCACTTTGCTCAGCAGGTTCTTACTTATACAAATGTAGTAAAATAAGTTGATTTATAAAAGAACATATAAGAAAATATGTCACAAATTACAAGAAGCATTGTTGTTTTCTAATTTTAAATATTTCAACACTGGTCAGCCATTTTACTTTCTTCTGCACAACATCATCATCATTATCTTAATCATCACCATCATCTTAATAGTACTCTTTTTTCATACTTCAAACAAGTTAAAATTTGTTTTACAATTAATCAGTCATTGACAATAAGTTTACACAAACACAATGCTGATATGAGCCGAGTCATGACAAAACCAACGTAATGCGTTTGCGACAAGCATGGATCCAGACCAGCCTGCGCATCCGCGCAGTCTGATCAGGATCCATGCTGTTCGCTATCAGTTTCTCTACTTGTTATAGGGTCTGTAAGCGAACAGCATGGATCCTGATCAGACTGCATGGATGTCTGGATCCATGCTGGTCGCAAACCCATTATATGGTTTTGTCGTGATGCAGCTCATATATATTTAATCAAATTATGTCCCTTCAGAAAATGTAATATTTTTACTAAATTAATTTCAAAAGCAAATGATATAAAGATAAAGGTAAACAGTAAAACAGCAGACGTAAAATGAAGACATACTCTCCTGTGTCTACTATTTTAGCAGACGGCACTGCTGCATAATAAAATTCCTTGTATTCATCCATCCACACTTCAGCTGCTCTCCTTGTATTTCTGAGAAATAAAATTTTTTTTTATATACAAGTTATAAAATTCTTTAGCTTTTTTTTCATCAGTAAAACCTTAAATAACTACATTCACATCTCATCTACTTAAACACAGTTATTTCTAACAAAAACTTTAAATGAACCAAGTGTTTTTTCTGTTTTATAACTAAAACTTCAAATACGCATTTGTTCTCCTACATAGTAAAATGCTTATACCTGTACCTGTTAGTGACAGACTAAGTTGGAGGTGAGGTTGTATTCGGCTCATTGCAATCAAACATTTGAGTTTAAATTCCATATGCATGATGTAAGCTATTTGTAGCCAGGAAAATTATATCAAAGTATACATTATAATTATATAGTTATACCTTGCAAAGACATTTCCACTTCCACCAGGGAATGTGTATGGATGCTGTTTTCTAAACACATGACCCACCCTGCTACATGGAATTATCTCCAATGTTCCGTGACATTGCCACACCCGGAATGATATTTCTGTCAAATATAGAAGTTTTATATAAAGATATTTAGATATAAACTAATAAATATACAGTGCTGTTTTGATGAAATTCCATTATTTGAAAGAAATGTTCATAATAAACTTATATCAAAAGAAATTTTTTTCTTACTTCATACTAGGGAAATGGAAGTAAGAGACATGCGTAATGCTCTTAATAAAAAAAAACAATGTAGTATTTCACAAAGAAGCAGGCAATAATATATTACAATTTTTCATAATATATAAAACATAATATAAAACATGAAATAAGTTACCTAAATTTTCACCACCCCACACATCCATTTTCATATCATACTTGCCAAGTTCTTCAAACCAACTTTTATCTATAGTAAACAAACCTCCGGCAATCATTGGCGTCCTGTATGAAACAAAAAAATAAAAGTTTTATAGAACAAGTTTGCTATCAAAAGTTTATTTCTCACTATAATTTCTGAGATGCCTTTTCAAATCATATTCAAATATACTATAACCATGGAATTGTCACACTCACTTCATTCTAAATGCTATCATGTTTTAAACAATACTGAATACCTCTATGTGTTCTTTAGAGTTTGTTATTTTGTAAATCTGCAAATAATCAAAAACTTTTTTATAAAACATTATAGAATATAAACTTACATAATAGGAGCTATAACATTTGAAGCTCTCTTATTTCTTTCTTCACTTGTCATGTAATCCCATTTAAACACCAAATTCCAGTCAAAACCTTAAAATAACAATGTTACATATCAATCAACAGTACTATATAGAGGATATTGAATGAGTGTAGGTTCAATACTGAGTTGATCAAACAAGTTCTATAAATTCAGTGATGAACCCACACATATATAATATTCTATTTATCACATACCCAAAATAGACAGTTTAAAGTGAAAAAGATTCATTTTTCATTGACACGCTAAAGTATAATACTAACATTTTACAATATGTTTGTATATCGCTAATGACGTTAGGTCCAAATATATGCATGGTCATGCAATACCATGTTTACAGAGTCGCAAAAGTGGTATGAGTATGTGATAAATATATTTTACAAATATCATTCCCCAGACATCATGGCACACAAGTTCACTTGACCACTAAACATACATCAATGTGAAACATTTCAAATGGAAATTGTTCTACAAGTTTAAAATACATTGTCTTTTAGTAAAGTTTTTTTTTAAAGTGTTAAAGATAAAATCCCCCTTTCAAAATAAACAGTAATGACACTGACAAAATAATACTTAACTTAAAGTCATTGTAACACTCCAAAAATGATTTTTTTCTGTAGACAAGTTTATTTTACGATATACATGTATAATGTGCAGTTTCAAGAATAATTTATAATTCAGCCATAAAATATGAACAAAAAGTATAATTAAAGTGAACAACATAAAGAAACATTTACCTCCTTTTAGATCAGCTGAAGCACCAATGTATTCAAAGTTGTCCATGTTAATTACATCAATTATAGGACTCACAACCTTCTTCTTGTCCTGAAAGTTTATGTCTCATTATTTAATTTCCATCTTCATGTATCAATAATGAAGAGCATTGGCCATTCAATAGTTGTCTTCAAAGGTCTATGTCTAAGACATGTTTAATTATATCAAAACTCTTATGAACAAAATGACAAACAATTCATCTTTATCAAGAAATAAAATGGACACTGAATAAACATGTTCTGTTTAAAAATATCAATATATAATTGTAAATTCATTTAATATTATTACTACTACAATTTCAATTTGATCAAAGGTACATCTGTGACTTGTAGTGGAAAAAAATCCACATATTGTTATTATATATTTAAAGACATTCAATTATGTACTTTAAGCATTGATTTAAGTTGCATGTCAATCAAATTATTCAAATCTTTGACCTGGTTCATCAGACGATATAAGTGGAATAAATCACAAATACAAAATGTACACCTCATTCTTACGAAAGGAGTGTACACAATGATAGCTAGTAAGATAAGAGCCTCGCCTCTATATCTTTTCAACAGTGCACTCTAATGTAAGGTTAAATGAATTAAACACATTTTAAATCTAATGTTATCTAATCTAATTAAAGGGGAGCGGTGGCCTAGTGGTTAAGGTGTCTGCACCAGAGATCATGGATTCGAGCCCTATTCGGGTCACGACCATGTTTCTCCATATGACACCAGTACTGGTTGGTTCCAGGAAGCGGACTCGAAAGTGATTAATATAAGTTCCAAGAACTTGTTTCGCAATCAAGCTTAAATAAATATGTTTAAACCAAATCTAATGTAGAAATAAAAAGTTCAGTACACACCTGTTGAACTTCTAGAAGTAAAGGTTCGAGCCAGTTTGTGTTACATTCACAGTGGCTGTCAAGGAAGGTCAGCACCGGAGCTTTAGCAGCATCAGCACCTTTGACCCTTGACCTCATTAATCCCTCCCTCTTGTTGTTACGTATCAGTTTCACCTTCTTCATTCTGGCTAGCTCTTCACCATCAGAAGCTGTAAAAGTAGGAATTATATTTTCATAACTAACTGGAAAGTTCCATTTTATAAATGCATTCAATCCATATAGAAGATGTCAAGTCATCCAAATTTTTCTACTCAATGTTTTATGATACAGAATAGAACTTGGCAAAAATTAGTAGTCATCAGTTTAGAGACAGGCCAGAAATTGCCAATGAAAATCATGTCATTTGAAACAGAATTCAGAAAAAAATGTTTTTTAACCAGATTCTTTACTTTTCATGTGCTCAATTTTATGATTTTTTTAACCTGGATATCTTTAATAAACCACGAAAAGCTTAAATGTTTATGTAAAAACAATGACTTACGATCATCACTAAAGTCGTCAACAAGAATAATTTCTTCTATCAAATGAGCTGGACTTTTTCTGAACACACTGTAAATTTAAAACATTGTAATAATGATTTGTTGTTCAACATGAGAAAAGGCAAGTGGTCAATGTAAAATGACCATGTACCTCCTCTTAATTAAAGTAACCAATATGCATTATGTAAAAACTTCAAAAGTAATGCTTATATAATCAGAACTATACACTTGAACTCAATTTCATTTGTAATATGACAGATAATACATGTATAATGTTTACATGTATTATGTTAATGCTCAATCAAAACCAGACCAACAAATCTGATAAAGGTTGAACATACTATCATTACTTGATATATGTTTTTAAATGATTAGGGATTTTTATGCTTCTTAAGTTAGGCCATTTTAGGGCTATTCCCCCTCAAGGAAATTCTTTAAAATCATACTGGTTTTTTTTACTACAAATATTGAATTTACATCAAGTTGTTTCTTTCCCCATTTGCAAAATTACCATAATAAAAAGGAAGGTCCCTTCCTTACCTTTAAAAAAGTCAATGATGCTAGTTTTGACAACATATAATAACTAGATGACTATATAGAAGGATATACCTGATGATGGTTCTAAGTAGAGCAGATCTTGCTTCATTATGAAATGTTATAATGACTGTAGTTGATGGTAGGTCAACTGTCCAATGTTTAGATCTGCATCTGATAATGAAAACAAACAATATCTCAAACATGTTATAAACCTGAATAATAACAGTTTAATAACAAGACAACTTAAATATAAACAAGAGCCATGTCAACATGGCCATCCCTCGCCGAATGGGTTTGCTCATTGGAAGAATGTATATGTAGTAGAGCAGAATAATTCAATTCTAGGAGGTCTTTTGGTAATGAGAACTGATGGCTGAAGTGATTACAGATTTGAAACCTATGTGAATACTGATAGCTGAAAATAACAAAGGGCAATAACTGAAAAATAACTGAAAAATAATGCAGGGTAAGTTATCATTCTTGTGTGCTGCACTCCTCCTCAATGAGATCTATCCACCTATGAAGTTTCAAGTTGATATCTCAAAGGTTTTTATAGTTATGCTCTTGACAAAAATTAAGCATGAAAAATAACAAAGGGCAATAACTGAAAAATCATGCAGGGTAGAGTTATCATTCTTATGCACTGCACTCCTCCTCAATATGATCTATCCACCTATGAAGTTTCAAGTTGATAACTCAAAACACTTTTTGAGATATGCTCCGGACAAAAAGTATGAAAAATAACCAAGGGCAATAACTCAAAAATTATAATGGGGAGAGTTATCTTTCTTGTGTTCAGCATTCCTCCTCAATAAGACCTATCCACCTATGAAGTTTCATGTTGACATCTCAAAGACTCTGAGTTATGCTCCACTCAGGTGAAAAATGAAGTATGAAAAATAACAAAGGGCATTAACTCAGAAATTATGAAAGGTAGAGTTATTATTTTTATGCACTGCACACCGTCTGAGTGAGATCTATCCACCTATGAAGTTTCATGTTGATATCTCATAAGCATTTTGAGTTATGCTCTGGACAAAAAATAAGTTTGAAAAATAACAAAGGGCAATAACTGAAAAATTATGCAGGGTAGAGTTATCATTCTTATGCACTGCACTCCTCCTCAATATGATCTATCCACCTATGAAGTTTCAAGTTGATAACTCAAACACTTTTTGAGATATGCTCCGGACAAAAAGTATGAAAAATAACAAAGGGCAATAACTCAAAAATTATAATGGGGAGAGTTATCTTTCTTGTGTTCAGCAGTCCTCCTCAATAAGACCTATCCACCTATGAAGTTTCATGTTGACATCTCAAAGACTTTTTGAGTTAAGTGTCACTCAGGAAAAAATTAAGTATGAAAAATAACAAAGGGCAATTACTCAAAAATTATGAAAGGTAGAGTTATCATTCTTGTGCACTGCACACCTCCTGAGTGAGATCTATCCACCTATGAAGTTTCATGTTGATATCTCATAAGCTTTTTGTGTTATGCTCCGGACAAAAATGTCGGACGGATGGACGGAGACTATTTCTATATCCCCCGCCGCCTTTCAGCGAGGGATAATAAAATGTAGACCTTGCAGTCAAAAACAAAGAAATCCACAAAATTAACATTTGGCAGTACTATATCCAACACATATACACAATAAGTGAACCATGGTTATGAAGTAGCTTATATAATGATTGGTGTTACTTGTTGTCTTTTTGATAAAGTAACAAGAGCTGTCGGTACGGCAGCAACGCTTGACTATTCTTAGTGCTAGATAGTAAAAAAGGCCTTGATAATGTAAAATTTTCTATGTAAGGAAAAGGGTAAAAATTTTCTTTAAATCCATATTACAGATATAGGCCTTGGAGAGAGTCCTATTATGCTCTCAAAGAAGACTACAAAATTTCAACTTGTTTCAAAGCCATATGTCAATGGACTTTGAAAATATTTGAGGTATTACAAAAACTTTAACGTAAGTTCTAAGTCGAAAAAGTGGCATAATTCTGTCAAAATGCTTGATACAGTTACCACTCCCTGTCTACAGGTTGGGGTCATGATGGTGAACAAGTGTGCAAAGTTTCAAAGCCATATGTCAATGGACTCTGAAAATATTTGAGGTATTACAAAAACTTTAACGTAAGTTCTAAGTCGAAAAAGTGGCATAATTCTGTCAAAATGCTTGATACAGTTACCACTCCCTGTCTACAGGTTGGGGTCATGATGGTGAACAAGTGTGCAAAGTTTCAAAGCCATATGTCAATGGACTCTGAAAATATTTGAGGTATTACAAAAACTTTAACGTAAATTCTAAGTCGAAAAAGTGGCATAATTCTGTCAAAATGCTTGATACAGTTACCACTCCCTGTCTACAGGTTGGGGTCATGATGGTGAACAAGTGTGCAAAGTTTCAAAGCCATATGTCAATGGACTCTGAAAATATTTGAGGTATTAAAAAACTTTAACGTAAATTCTAAGTCGAAAAAGGGGCATAATTCTGTGAAAATGCTTGATACAGTTACCTCCTCCTATCTACAGGTTGGGGTCATGATGGTGAACAAATGTGCAAAGTTTCAAAGCCATATGTCAATGGACTTTGAAAATATTTGAGGTATTACAAAAACTTTAACATAAAGTGGTTACGCCGACGCGGACACCAACGCCGACGCTCGGGTGACTACAATAGCTCTACTTATTCTTATCGAATAGTCGAGCTAAAAAGTAAATTGTAAAGGGTTTAAATGAAATGATTGAGTTAAGCTCTGTAAATGTTAATTATGGTATGACTGTTAGTTAAAGGTCTAACTATTGATATAGTTTACAGAACCATGAAAACCTTCATCTGTACAGTCTGACTTGAAAATCCATGAAATCAACAATGGACTGTCTCAAATCATGACAAATCTACCACATATAAATGGTAAGGGTTTATAAAATACACTTACTGTGCATGTCTTGTATCTGGAACATCTCGATTACTTTTGGTATTGTCACTAGCTTGTTGATTAAACTTGTTACGACCATACGGATCTTCACCAGGTTTTAAAGCTTTTTTATTTATGTAAACATTCTCCGGAAATTCTTCCCATGGAATGTCATTACTCTCACTGTCCTTGTCGACCACAGCATTCACTTTCTTCACCTGTTCCCAGTCACCTACATGGTTCTCTGGTACATGTCTGAAACACACAAGTTCCTTCATTCTCATATACAATGTAGTACATACTATAATATGATATGTATTATTTATATTATCATAAATGTCAGGCTGGACAAATGCCTACTTTGCATCAACCATAAACATAATTGTCCATTAACCAGGCAAGGCCTACTTAATAATTGCATTACATACTTATTACATATATTATCAACTATTCAGTATTACAGTTATCCATGTGAAGAATTTGTAATTTTCAATTATTGTTATGAGGTAAATTGTTAATTAAATACAAGTTGTTAAGGGATGTAGAGCTGAAAAAACTTACATTTTTGATGGCTTAGGGTATTTTGTTGGGACTACTTTAATATGCTTTTGTGGTTCATTTTCATGGATATTTTGATGTGGCTGAAATTTCAGGTTATCATTGTTTACAACCTCATGTACTATTTCTTGTGGAAGATAATTTTTATGGTAACGTCTTTCTTCTTCAACTTCCTATAAAATACGTTAAATAAAAATCAAAACATGTAGTAATAAATAGAACTTTAATATATTGAAATCAGTGTTGCATCTAGGCTCCGTGATTGCAGATTTGCAAATATTTTTTGCAGATCTCGCATTTTAATGAAGTCAATGTGAGCCAAGTCGCGTGACAATCTTTTAAACTTAATTCAGTTAATCTTCATCATATCTTGAACACTTCTGCCATGTTTCAATCGCGGTAATGACTAAAATACGTATTAAATCGAATGTACCAGCCAACCAGGTCATCTCACATGTGCATTGATGGTTTGATCTGCATACTTTACTAGTATTCGTTAATATTTTTTATTTTTTCCATTTCCGTTGGTGTCAGCGGACGATAGCTGTCAAAAATGCCTTAAACACAAAATAAATGAATTTTATTCGGTAAGTCATATTGTTAAGTAAATGCATGTTCCCCACATTTTTTTCAAATCCCCGACATCTTTCAGTTGAGTGAGGGACAATCCTCCATAATTTTGAAATTCTAGATGCAACACTGTTAAAAAAGAAATATCAAGATTTTGTCAAGAGTGAATCACTATACAAATTTATATGATAATTTAAAATAATAAATGGAATCTTTTTGAAAGGAATGTTGAAACAGTGATTTTATTTGGCAATAATATCACTGTTGGAGACAAAGTTTGAAGTTCCTAGGTCAATTCACTTTGCTTTAATGCCAATGGTAAGATTTTCATTTCCTTATTGGTGATTGGCCAAAAACGAAAACTTATTAATCCAAAAAGATTTACCAAGGCCAACAAGTGGGTCATAATTTTTCCTCTATAAGCCAAGGGAATTTTTCTGTGTTAATTTTTGGTTGTGAATCAAATAAAACAAGTCATAGTTGACATCGGAAATTGAATTGGCGCACACAAAACTGGTTTGCCATTCATACATAGAATTATTTGAAAATACCATGGTCAACAATGTGTAACAATCTGCTTTAAGTAATGAATAAATATACCCGTATGTACATTAACAATTATCACTTATTTATAACCCTGATTAGATTATTTTCAATTCGATTCATGAATGTTCACTATTATGATCTTTAGTTGACAATTCCAGGGATTTTTTTTTGGCTTATTTTATAGCCGATATTCGGTCATATTCCCAAATGAAAATATATTAATTTATTTTCCAAATCCACAGAAAAAATTCCCAGTTGAAAGTTACAAAATAAAAATATTGAATAACAAATTATAAAATCTTTGAAAATAAGGGCTTCTTCACTGTTACAGTGTTTTAATATTTGAAGATGACATCTTAGACAGTAATTCTTTGCATCCATTTAATCACTGCAAAATTTAAATCATGCATTTTTCACCCAAATTTTTAACAAAACATTGCTGAAATTCCCAATCCCATGGGTATGGATCATGTTCCCAAAATCCTGGTAAAAAACCCGAAATTCTGCTCATTAAGGTATTTGCTATAAGAGTGAGTAGCACTCAACCTATTTCTTGTGCATTTCTTTAGTTCTATCAGTGTTCGCGTTTACCCCGTAAAAGGCAAAAACATATCCATTTACTCACTATTAACATTGTCAGGGAAAAAAGGGGCTGTTAAGTCCCTGGGACAAAACATTTTTTTCCTAGTTTATTCTCGATAAGTTTTTTGCTCTGATTGAAAACGTATTTTCCATTCGCAATTGAAAAAAAAAATTATATTGTATTTTAAGCATATTTTGATTTGTTCCCTTCTCATAAACAAAGCTGATTAATTTTCCAAACATAAACTAGGAGCAAGTGCCCAGCCTCGTTTTGGGCAAACCTTAGTATCAATGGTATCCGCGAGCATCAACAGTCTCAGTCGTCAACATGTTTTGATATCACAGAATGTTGAAGACAGTTGTTTAGTAGGAAAAAATTACCTTTGAAAAGGTAAAATACACATAGAAATAAGTACAAAAAAATATAAAAATATTTAAGTATTAACTCTAATAATCGCCTATATCAATGTTACTTAAAGTAATCATCAGTCTCTTTTATTCATTCTTTTGAGACTGTAGACTGTAGACCATCGATTTGTATGCTCATCTAAGTGAAACTTTTTATTTTGTTAATTTGCAGTATGTGTTTTTCTTAATTTACCCTTAGCACTTGAATATTATTTAAGAGCACTCAGTTGACAAATTTAAGGTAAAGCACACAAATTTGATTGTTTGATGGAGTGATACAAACAATGCCAAACCTTCAAATTTCTGTAATTGAGGACTCGTCCGATTTGAATTGAGACGCAACAGATCTATTGGCACTGAGTCCCAGGTACTCAGCAGTTATTTTTTTCCCTGTATTTTACGGCAGAATAAAGGCTGTTTCCCCTAGCTCAAAATAGGCATATTTTCTCCAAAAAAAGCCAATTTTTCGCCTTAAATGCCTGGTGCACTTTTTCACCAGAAACATGACTAAACAGCATCTGACTTATTATATCAGCTAGAAGACAGAAAGCTGTCCCTATAGCCTCTGATTTGTACCATGCATGTTAAATTGAATTGAAATTGAAAATTTTATTAAATGTGTGGGTAAATTCCAGGGCTCACGCTGTCGGTCGCCATAGTTGCCATTTGCGATTATTTTATAAGATTGGCGATTATTTTTGCATTTTGGCTACAAAATCTGGCGATTAATTTTTTACTTCCAACAGTGTTTACATAAGGTGTAAAAATCAATAATGAATGCAGTAGACCCAATTAACACCAGCATGAGTGTCAACTTTTTATCGGTCACGCGTTGCTTACTAATTGCCCAAGGTGATAAAAATACATGCAGGTGATAAAAATACATAAGAGTTGTAAAATTGTTTAAGTACTTTAAAGATATTATCCAGCATTATAATAGCCATCAAATATCCGTCAATTAGCCACAAAATAATCTTCTTAAAATTGATAAACTGTATATTGACCAACCCAAAATTTACCGTAAATTGCAGTAATGGCAAATTTTGATTTTTTTTGTTTTAAGCTGCTTGACAAAATCGCCAGTAGAAAACAATGATAAAATATTTAACAAGATACATGGCAATGTCATTGTAGATAAATATGTTGTAGTTGAAAAACAAATACAAGCAACAAACAATGTAACTATGTGCAATGTAAATCATGATAAATGAATTTTCTATTTTTAGTAACTGTAACCTTGACCCTAGGAGGCCAAAAAGCCATCCCAAGTGAGGTCTTCATAAAAACTTGCTTTACCACAAATTTCATAAAAATATCTTATTCCAAACAAGTTATTGACCGGAAAACTATTTTCTATTTTTAGTAACAGTGACCTGACTGGAAACAGATTTTCTATTTTTAGCAACAATGACCTTGACTTTGACTCTACAGGACCCAATAGATGAGCTGGCAGGCATGCAACAACCTAGATAGTTTCTGTTTTATAACTAAACTAGAACTATCACTAAATGTGATTAATACCCCCACAAGACTGCTTCGGAAATGAGGATGTTACTAGTAACAGAATACCTTGTAAAAGAATTGAAATATAGAGTTATGGTTGTTGGCAATTAAAGATAGTTGTGGTTCTTGTATGTTGCATTTCCTTTCAATGTGGTTGGCCATTGGTGAAGTTTAATTGAATTACTCTGTAATAAGTCCAGAAAGACAAAGAAAAGAAACAAAGGGCAAAAACTCTATAAAAACTGAAGATAGAGTTATAGTTCTTGTGCACTGCACTTTCTCTTATTGTGCTTGAACGTTGTTTTGAATTCCAACCAGTATGTATTAAGTTATGCTCAGGACAAGGAAAAGTATCGAAGGGCAGTAACTCTTTATTTTTGTCAAAATGGAGTTATGGCTCTTGTGCACTGTACTTCCTTTTAATGTCCTTGACAACTGTATGAAGTTGTACTGAATTCCAAACAGTAGTTTTCAAGTTATGCTCTGGACAAGGAAAAGTAACAAAGGGCAATAACTCTGTAATTAGTCAAGATGGAGTTATGGTTCTTGTGCACTGCACTTCCTCTAAATGTGATTGACCATTGTATGAAGTTATATTGAATTCCAACCATTAGTCTTCAAGTTATGCTCCGTACAAAAAAGCAATGGAAAAGTAACAAAGGGCAATAACTCTGTAATTAGTCAAGATGGAGTTATGGTTCTTGTGCACTGCACTTCCCCTTATTGTGCTTGACCATTGTATGAAGTTGTTTTGAATTCCAACCAGTAGTTTTCAAGTCATGCTCTGGACAAGGAAAATTAACAAAGGGCAGTAACTCTGTAATTAGTCAAGATGGAGTTATGGTTCTTGCGCACTGCACTTCCCCTTATTGTGTTTGACAATTGTATGAAGTTATTTTGAATTCCAACCAGTAGTTTTCAAGTTATGCCCCGGACAAGGAAAAGTAACAAAGGGCAATTACTCTGTAATTAGTCAAGATAGAGTTATGTTTCTTGTGCACTGCACTTCCTCTCAATGTGCTTGACTATTGTATGTAGTTATATTGAATTCCAACCATTAGTCTTCAAGTTATGCTCCGGACAAGGTAAATGCAGCGGACAAAAAAAAAGCAATGGAAAAGCAACAAAGGGCAATAACTCTGTAATTACTTTAGATAGAGTTATGGTTCGTGTGCACTGCACTTCCCCTTATTGTGTTTGACAATTGTATGAAGTTGTTTTGAATTCCAACCAGTAGTTTTCAAGTTATGCCCCGGACAAGGAAAAGTAACAAAGGGCAATAACTCTGTAATTAGTCAAGATAGAGTTATGGTTCTTGTGCACTGCACTTCCTCTCAATGTGCTTGACCATTGTGTGTAGTTATATTGAATTCCAACCATTGGTCTTCAAGTTATGCTCCGGACAAGGAAAATGCAACGGACGTCTGGACCGACCGACCGACCGCCCGACCAACCGACCGACCACCGGGTGACTCCTATATACCCCCCCAAACTTTGTTTTTGTGGGTATAATAAAGTTTGTTGTGATTAATAGGATATATTACACTTATAATTAAATTTTATGGAGAAACAAAGGGCCATAATAAGGTAAAAGGTAAAAACTTATCCAATCATAAAACCCTGACAATACACAGCAGGGCACTTGAAGATAAAGCTAATCTGTGAAAATTTGAACAAAATCCTTTGAGAAATGTAGAAGCAGTTGGGCAACAGAAGAAATTGTTCACTATCTATACTCTATATAAGGGAAAAAAACAAAGGGTCATAATTAGGTAAAAAATGATCCAATCACAAAACCCCAACAGTATGCCTCAGGACACTTGATGACAAAGCTTCTGTGAAAGTTTGACCAAATCCTTTGAGAAATGTAGGAGGAGTTGCGCACAGAAGAAATTGTTCACTATATATTCTGTATAAGGAAAAAAAAACAAAGGGCCATAATTAGGTCAAATGTTATCCAATCACAAAACCCTGACAATATGCACCAGGGCACTTGATGACAAAGCTTCTGTGAAAGTTTGGTCAAAATCTGTTGAGAAATGTAGGAGGAGTTGCGCACAGAAGAAATTGTTTATGCCCGTCCATCCGCCGACATATCTCAATCCAATAACCAGATTTTTCCTTCGGAAAACCTGGTTTAAAAGTATTTTATTCCAACCAACTATTTGCACAACAACCAAAATTGTGAAAATTTCCTCAGAAAACAGAAAAAATCCGATTGTCTTCGAAATTAACGCCAGTCCGAGGACCGAGGCCACTAAATTTAGCATGGGTCCAGTGATTATTGCTAGGTCGGTGGTCCGACGGACCAGTAGATTTTTTGTCATGAAAAAATATTGTAAGAAAAATTCATCAAAATAATGAAGCAGGGTTCTCTAAAAGATTTATCTTTTTGCCTTTTTTTGCAAATGAAACCCATCAATTCTGTCTTAAATGTTCAAAACACAGCGAGAGATGTCTAAATTTTATCCAGTAATGGAGGCCGCCATTTTTTTCTTGGATATTTTCCGTACCGCACCGTACAGTTACGGAAATTAAACCATTGTTTATTATGGTCATTATTTACATCACTTGACATCACTGTAGCTATGATTTTGTGATTATTGAGTTAAGTAAATATTTTGTGTGAAAGTGATTTGTTTGAAGCAAATTGCGTTGTTCATGTTCAATTCAGTCAATTTTGCCTAAACATTTAGTCCTTAAAGATTTTTCAAAGCTGTCAACATATGGCCCAGAATACAAGACGTATTATGCTTCTTTCAAAATTATCAAGGGAAGCATGATAAAGTGTTTTCCTGTTCCCATCAATTTATTACCTATCTATGTATTTGGTCCGGCTAAAAATCACCAGGTCCAGTAAGATTTGATATTTTACTGGCCCGAATGTCCTGTGCTTTTTAAAGTTTTTCGTGAAGACTGCATATTTTCGCGACACCGATAATTTTGATATTTATTTAAAGGTGAAAATAAGCGATGTTCTGTTTAAAAATCTTTACTATTATGGAAGAAAATTTGTATTACATTGGTGATAATGACATTTTTCAGTAAGTTATCCAGAAAAAAGGCTGCATTCTGTGAAAGAGTTTGCAAGTGTTATTGCTGTTATTTCTGTAGGCTAATATGACCTAGATCTACTCCACGTCTGTGTGAAATGCGGAAATTGTCAGTAGTTATAGCTGACAAAATTTGATTAGAACAAACAAAAGAAATTGTCTGATAATAAAATTATGTAAAGTTATAATGAATCTTTAATTTTATTCTTATACAGTTATTTATATTATACTATATAACATTTTTATTTTGTTCTATAATATTATTAATAACAATTAAAGTTGTGGTTCTATGCAAAAAAAAATGTAGTTATCAATATACACAAATGTATCAGTTTATTTGAGAATCTTTATAAAACTGAAAAAGTTTTATATGTAATGTTTATTTAATCAACTGCTTATGTTGTTGATCGCTAAATCGTGAATAGTCCGCTGAACTTTTGGCTATTATTTTTTTAAGTAAAAAATATTGGCTATTATTTTATTTGAGCCAGTGTGAGCCCTGAAATTCCATTTTCAGTTGTTAGAATTTGATTTTCCTCATTTCTGATTTATCGCGCTATATTTTCTCCTTCAGAAAGCCACAGGTTGTTTTGAAAATTGGAAAAAAATCACTGCTCAGTAAAGTAAAGACAAATTGCTAACACTGTCTATAATTTTTATTTTAAATTATTCGACTTTTTATAGCGAGCTCGACGAGCTGACCCGAAGGGCCTGCTCGCAAAGCGAGCTTTACGGTAACGCGAGTACCTGCTAAGTGATGGTTTTGAAAACTTTCGTCCGAAGTACCGAATTGGACACATCGCACGTCTATGGGAACCATAATTGGACAGGGAACCAGAATAACGGAAGCTGTGTATAAAATTGTAAATTGAAGGCCCCATTTTGTTTGAAAAATCTGATAAAATATAAACAATTTTTTGTCGAATTTTGTTGTGAAAACTATCTAGAATGAAAGAAAATGGTCTAACTAAGAAAATGAATCCAAACACCAATATCTTTTATTCAGTCGTTAACGCTGTACAGACGTTTAAAGTATTGTTTACGTGACGTCACAATGTAGCGCCAAACAGCACGTGCAAAACAAACAAATCAATTACGCTATTTTAATGTCGCAAACGTTTTAAGTTTTACATTTATTTCACTTTTAATAATCTTTATTTCGCTTGAAAATTATAGAGAGAAATAAAATAAACAAAGTTTTATAAACGTTTTCAAAACTCTTTATTCATTTAACGACATGGGCGGAGCCATTTTTAACACAGTACGTGTGACGTCACACACACTCGTCACTGCATTTGAAATAAAAATGAGCTATTATTTCATACTATTTCACGTTAAAAGTACATCGAGCTCGCTTTGAGGCTTTGCCTTTTTCATATTAAATTTTAGTAGTGTTAATGAAAACACAAAGTGCTTGTCTATTTGGAAAACAGAATCAATGAGACAAAACTAATAAAGTTTCATGACAATATGCATACACTTACTTAGAAATGTTTAATATATAGTGGGGCAAATCGTCACTACTGTGGGGGGGGGGGATTGTCAGTGGGACAAATAATTATATTTCCAGGAGTAGCTGAGTGAATAGCACTCCAATTCTTTGAATAGGCTGATTAAAAATGGGCTAATTTCAGCAAAGAGATAGAACATTACATGCATTGAGACAACATCAATGATCAATGCCACAAACATAAACCCTGCAAAAACTTGGCCCCCTTTCAGTCAAAACTGTCAAAGCTTTATTGGGAAATGGATATCTCAGAAAAATAAATATTAAATATCATTTCATGCCAAATATGACAAATATACTATAGCAAATAAAGCCCGCTATCACAGTAAACCGGATATTCACCCCACCCATTTATGTGACGTGGGAATGAACATCTGCCCTGTGTAAATGTTGTTTAAAAACATAAGTAAAATATAATATTGTAAACTATCAAAAATACCGAATTTGTTGATGACTTAAGAAGAAAGTAAAGGATTCCACATATCCATATAGTGCCTATAAGAAGGAGTAATCGGTGTCTTTTACGAAACATTTTTACAAGTCAGTGTTCAGTGTGCTTTCATTTTGACAGTTCCTTGACATTAACCAATCAAATGGATTGTAGCAACTGTCTGCAACAAAGAACGGACCTAAAGAAATAAAACCGCCACAAATAAATATGCGCGCAGGTTTGTTTTTGCAAATTGTTGAATAATATTCTTGACTCTGGTATTTTCCCAGAGATATGAAGTAAAGGATTGATTTTACCATCGTATAAAAATAAGGGTGAAGTAAATGACCCTAATAATTACAGGGTCATAACTAAAGTTGTTTTGACTACTGTATTAAATAACCGTCTGAACACGTATCTAGATTCATATGTTGTTTTTTTTAGTGTGAAGAGCATGCTGGTTTTAAAAAGAAATATAGTACAATTGATCATATATTCTCTCTGAAAATGTTGGTTGATTTTTATTTATCAAGGGGTAAAAATTTATATTGGTGCTTTATAGATTTTCGTAAAGCCTTTGATTCTGTTGATAGAATCTGTTGCCTTATGGCAAAAATGGTCAAGAATTATATTAGTGGTAATTGGAAATTGAAAATTTGGAATGATATGTATGATAAAACAAAATCATGTGTAACAGTTAGTAATAAGCTTTCAATTTTTTCGGCAAGTAATACTGGCTAAGTCAAGCTAGGTGAAATAATATAGAGAAAAAAAAAGAATCACCAAAGAAAGCACAACGTACACGGCATAATTGAAAATTTTGCAGGCTTGGTTTGAATATGGTGAGATTTTGAATTTAAAAACATCCGCAGATGTGTTCATTCGGCGGTTATCATGGGACCTTCAATGTGACACGTAAGTGCCATTCCATGAAAAGCGGCAAATTAAAAAAAAATTGCGCGTGCCATAAACGAGCAAACAATGGGCGGAACTAAATAAAATGGAATTTTGAAAGGGAATCTGAGGTTATGGAGCATGCATATCGCAGATAAGACATCAAAAGACAAATTTAAAAAGCAGGAAACATATCCTAAGGGTGATTCAACATTATTCAAGACGGAATTGGAACCACCCAAGTAAAAAAAATGCCGAAAAGTAAAAACTAAAAAGAACAACAAACATAACAATACTGTCGTGTCAACAATCTTCAAGGATCGGAAATACAACATCTCTGATTGAATGTACGGGGCGACATTTTATAGCCTCCACACGGCACAGACAATGCTGATATGGCTATAAAATTCAGAAAATAAGAAGTCCTAAAGAAAGTCCAACACGGCAAAATTGAAAATGTTGCAGGCTCGGTTTGATTGGGCCTGCTCATGGACGGTAATGTCAAGTGCAAACCTCCGTCTACGCCCCTAACACCGGTTTTCGCAGAATTTAACATTTAAACATGAAAATGAAACTTTCACCCGAGTTGTTTTCGTTTTTTCTAAATGATCTTGCACAGTTTATGTCTGACAAATATGGTGGTCTATATACAATTACTGATAATGTGAAAAGGTTATTAAGTAATGAGGATTTATAGGTATTTTTAGACTCTTTCTGTTCCTTTATAATGATGATACGGGTCATATTAGCAAAAATGCAGACGAGCTTCAAACTGCATTAAATGCTGTGCTAGAATATTGTAATGTTTGGAATTGTGAATTCTGCAAAAAAAAGTTTGTAATATTTTCTAGGAACAGGAATTGTATAAGAGATGCACCTCAATTTTCCTTTGATATTGAGAACTTAGAATTAGCACATGATTTCTCTTATCTAGGTGTTCAATTTATGGATAATAGTAAATTTGCTAAAACTAGAAAACGTCCTATTGACAAAGCGAAGAAAGCTATGTTCTCTCTGACAAAAAAGCTAGAAATAATTGTTACTATCTGCACATCTACAGATCATCTTAGTTAATACAATGATTGTTCATATCCTTGTTATGGCTCTGAAGTTTGGGGAATAGAAAATTAAATTTAAACTTAAATTTTACAAAATTATACTTAATCTCACCAAAGTACATGTTCTCCTAGCTTAAGGTCTTCAGCGTACCCGTTTAAATACTATGACATGACGCATCAGATGAAAAATATATATTAAAAAGCGGCTTATAAAGTTTTGGAAGCCAGAACTAATGTTCTCCCAGTTGAATGTTATATTGTGAATTTGATGTTCCTCCAATATCTTTGCAAATAAAAAGTAGAATTATTAACTAATGGAGTAAGCTTTTGAGTGGTAAAGATGGTAAGATTTGTAATATTTTATATAAGACTGCAAACTTACGTATATGTACACATGTTCTTTATGTGAGTCAAACCAACTGGATGCCAAGTTTCACAATCTCTTTTATTGTTCATATTTTGTTAATAATAGACGTAAATTTATTAAACCGTTTTATTAGATCGTCCAATGCATTCGAATTTGAAGATCTTATGAATAGTGAAAACAAATAACATTTTAAAATAACCTTGCTTTGTAAAGAAATAAATAATAAGTATGATATTGTATAATGATAAATTTCTAGTCTCCTAGAAAATTTTGTTAATGAAGAATAAATTTCGATTATTATTAAGAATCTAAGTCATATCTTTGTTTTATTTTACGGGTACAATATAATTGTCACTCATACTTCTGTTTTCATGTATATTTTTTTCTATATTCCGGTTGTTACATGTTCACGATGTTTTTTTTGTCACATATTCTTATGAACCATGACAGTGTTGAATAAATCTTGTTTTGATAATACCACTTTGTCAGAATCAACAGTGGCCATTTAGAGCTCAAGGACAACCTCCCTGCCAAATTTGAGTTACTAAGCCAGTGCATTGCTAAGTTATGTATTCTACATGCTTCAAATGTGAAAATGTCAAAATCAATACACTGCTGACAGGCATTCTTAAGCATTTGAACAGAAATTATTCACATCTATTTTAAATAAAAGATTAATACAATATTGTGATGAAAACCATGTTTTGTCAGATGCACAATTTGGATTTAGAAAAGGAAAATCAACCATTGATGCTTTATTTATTCTTATGTCAGTTGTTCAAAATTATATAAATAATAATAAACGTTTGTATAGTGTTTTTGTAGACTTTAAGAAGGCTGTCGATTGTATATATAGAAACGCGCTTTGGCTAAAATTAAGTAATTGTGGGATTAGAGGTAAATTGTTACGCCTAGAAAAAGACATGTATAGTAAAGTAAAATCGTGTGTAAGGTTATGTAATAGTTATTCAGAATTCTTTAATTATGCTGTAGGTCTACGTCAAGGGGGGGGGGGGGGGGGGGGTAATTTCACCGATTTTATTTTCCCTCTTTTTAAATGACTTTGAATTATTTTTACAAAGGGATATAAATAGTGGTTTGACTATAAACGATATTGTTTTGATTTTGTTATTGTTCGCTGATGATATGGTCATTTTAGGAAACACACCAGATGATATAAATAGAAGTTTGACGTTATTGAATGATTATTGTAAAAAATGGAGCTTAGAAGTAAATATTGATAAAACCAAAGTTGTTGTTTTCAGAAGACGTGGAGGTTTAAAAAACAATGAATTATTTTATTACGAAATGAAACATTTAGATATTGTCGATAGCTTCAATTACTTAGGAACAATATTTACTTATACTGGTAGTTTTAGTTTAAATCAAGAACATTTGATTGGTAAATCTCATAAAGCTCTAAATGTACTATTGATTAATTGTAATAGATATCAGTTAAAACCTAAAGTGTTATGTCAGATTTTTGACTCTTTTGTTGGTTCAATTTTAAATTACGCTGCTGAAATCTGGGGTTTTACTAAATCAAAGGAAATTGAAAGACTTCATCTTAAATTTTGTAAAAAAATATTAAATGTAAAAGTAAATTCATGTAATGTTGCTGTGTATGGTGAACTAGCACGTTATCCTTTATATATTTCAAGATATGTTAAGATTTTAAGATTCTGGTTTAAAATGCTTGAGATAGATAATATCATTCTTAAAAATGTATATAGCATTGCTCTTGAAGACTGTAATAATGGTAAGAAAAATTGGTTATCAAATCTTAAATTGTTATTATGTAATCATGGTTTTAGTGATATTTGGGAATTTCCAGATTCCGTAAATAGTAAAATATTTTTACCAATATTTAAGCAAAGGTTAATTGATTGTTTTTTACAAAGTTGGCTTTCTGGTAAAGAGAGCAGTCCTGTTTTGTATCTGTATAATCATGTTAAAGATTCTTTTGTATATGAAAATTATCTTGATATAATACCAAGTACTTTAAGGAAGTATCTTACAAGAATTAGAATATCTTCGCATTCATTACATGTGCAAACTGGTAGGTTTCATAGAAATAGAATTGTTAGAAATGAAAGATATTGTTTATATTGTAATCTTCATGACGTCGAAGATGAATATTATTTCATTTTAATTTGTCCTTGTTATATTGATATAAGAAAAAAAAATATATAAAAAGATACTATTATATAAGACCCAGTATGCTTAAATTCACTGATATGTTAAAATCAAACAATAGAAGTATACTTTTAAATTTATCCTTGTATGTACGAGATGCGATGTCTCAGAGAGACAGATTTATTATATACTTATAAATGAAATATTGCGAAATATTGATGAAATAAAATGCGTATTTTCATTTTCCGTATTTTCACTGTAAAAATTTATTTTTCACTGCAGTGAAACATATTTTCCGTATTTTCACTGGTGTCTTGCCGGACTACTTTCTTTTAAATTCTACCAGTACACAAAATTTAAGGGAAAAGAGAAAAATGTACATAATAAACAGAAAATTCAAGTTTTTTCTATAAATACATGATTTATTTTCATCTTGTGGCATGAAAATTACCATATTTCACTCGTGGCTACCGCCACTCATGAAATATTTATTTTCATACCACTCGATGAAAATATATCATGTATTTATAGAAAAAACTTGAATATCCTCTATTTATTTCGGCAAAGGAAGCATATACATAGTTGACAATATAACATAGGATAAAATAATGAGCATTATTAAATACTATATCACATACGAGTAAAACTATGACATGCTCACCAAAACCAAGGATAACACAAAAAAGGGCAAAAAAGCTCTTATTTCCAT